CAACCTGAATCTCTTAGTCTTCCCATTTTCCCCCTGAGGACTATTCTTCCCCCTTCCCCCTCCTGACTCCTGGAATGCATCCCCTCCTTCCTGATAGCCTTGATCTCCCACATTACTCTCCTCCTCGTAGATACATTCCATCACAGGAAGGAAGGCACTGGCGCATGCGAGCGAGCGAAGGGGGAAGGAGGGCGCTGCTGTGTGTGAGCGAGGGAAGGAGGGCATGGTGCATGTGAGTGAGGGAAGGAGGGCATGGTGCATGTGAGCGAGCAAAGGGGGAAGGAGGGCGCTGGTAGGAGTGAAGGGGGAAGGAGGATGCTGGTGAGTGCGAGCAAGGTAAGGAGGGCGTGGCGCATGCGAGCAAACGAAGGGGGAAGGAGGGCCAAGAAGCCCCAGAGCTGCAGTGTGGCATGCAGCCCCAGAGCCGCAGCATGGCAAGCAGCCCCAGAGCCATGTAGTTCTGGGGCTGCTTGCTGCCCTGCAAGGCAGGGTGCAGGGTGTCCAAAATGGCAGAGATAAGGGGAAGTAGGCGAGTGGGGGGAGTTGGAGGTAGTCCCTTACCTTACTGAGGCTCAAGGCTGGGAGGATCAAAGCCTAGAATGGCTTGGATTGAGGTGGGTCTTCAGCTAACAACTGGTGGAATTCGCTTAACAACGGCAATGGGGAGTGCGAGGATTGTTGTCATTAAACGATGCAGTCACCTGACATCTCACTTTATGACCACATCACTTAGTGATGGAAATTCCTGTCCCAATTGTAGTCGTAAGTCAAGGACTATCTGTATTTCATAGTCCTTCCAAATGCGAATGTATGAGTATTGAATGAAAAGTAATGCCTCTGATGTTATAAGTTGCCAACTGATGGCAGTACTGATGAACTAAAAGTTCTGACGTGCTCTTTATAGAATCACAGGGTTGGAAGAGAGCTTGGTGGTCTTCTGTTCCAAATCCTGCTTAGAATCTGTTCTTTTACTTCAGTTGGTGGGAAGTAGCTGTGAGAAAAGGCTGTATTACTGTTGTTCATGAAATGGAAGCCTGCATTGAATACTCATCAGTGCATTTTAAGCAGTGCACCCCAAATGAATGTTTGACTATTGAAGGAGTCCATCCAATTGAAAAGTCACCACTAAATGCAGGTTTTCTATAGTGAAGACTGCATTGACATGACTTCTGTGTGTCACTGAGTGGAAAAACGTAAAGATAATGAACCAGGAAGAGTCGATTTGTGTGATCAAGAATAAAGTGGACAACCTGTGACAACGATCAATTGCTGTTAAGCTTGGCATTTCACAGGAACATATTGGTTATGTTATTGATATATTTCAATATTGGAAGATTTGTACAAGATAGGCTCCTCATATGGCAGAGATGAAAGCTTCAGGAGTTGAAATTTGTCAGCAGATGTTGTCACACTATAACAATCAAGGTGAGGAATTTCTTCACAGAATCATTACAGCTGATGAAATATGGTTGCATTGTGAGACCCAGAAATGAAGCATCAGTTCATAGAACTTCATCACAAAGCTTCATCCCCCTTCCCTGCAGGGGGAAAAAAGTTTTAAAAACATAGGCTTCAGTAGGAAAACTCATGGCTACCATTTTGGGGGATGCAGATGGTGTTATTCTTGAACCTGGTACTATTATCAACTCAGAGCAATATATCACAACACTCAAAACTTTTAAACAACAATTAGAATTTGAAACCACAAGGAGTTTTTGCTGCCACATGACGGTGCTAGGCTTCACACTTCATGAAACACCCAAGAGGCAGTGAAGAAGTTGGATCTCAGCATCTTAACGCCATATAATTCAGACTTGGTGCTGTGTGATTTCTACCTTTTCGCAAAATAGAATGAATGGTGGTGATTATGTGGAAAAGTAAATACAAATAACAAAAGTGCTCATTTCAGGGATAATTTTCCTATTTCATTTATTAAAATATCTCTATTTAAACTGAAGTTAGGGAGCTGGAGGCATTTCTTTTCATTCAGCCCTTGTAAATTACTTTCTTCCATACATAGACATTGGTTCTGTTAATAATAATTCTTGCTAATTAAACTTAAAGCATGTAATGGAGATACTATTTCTACTTTACTTACTGTGAAGTTATTTAAATTTGTTTTTCAAATGAATAATAATAAAAAATCGATTATTAGAGGGAATAGAAGACTCACTGTCTTTAATGTGGACTACAATAAAAGCTTTTATCTGAGGTTGTATTTCATGCAATTCTTATAAATAGAAACGAGAATTACAACAATTAAGGTTAAAGAATTGTAACGTACATATAGCCATCTCTTTGTTCCCTTTTAGGCTATGCTATATTTTGTGAAGTGCAGAAAAGGAATAAGAAATAGTAAACACAATAAATTTTAAGTATCAGATAAGAGAAAAGGAAATACAGCTAAAATCAGTTTATGCTAATATCATTCATTATAACTCCCCCTAACCTTTCTGACTTTGCAAACCATTACTGCATCCTTCAGGCCTGTATGCTGCTTCATATGTTACTATTTGTTCTTTAAACCTTACATTTGTTTTTTTGAAGAATTTCCGTCTAACCACAGCTAACCATAGCTTTCTTGTTTGCCCCATTCTTCTCAACCAATTCACTCTTTCTTCATACGTTTATATTGCAATTCAGTTCTCATTCATTCTATATATATATGGCCAAACCATCTTAATGTACTTCTTTCACACTGGTCGTTCAATCCACATTCACTCAAGCACCTCTCAGTCTATCTGTCTTCATTATTTACCAGACCAACTTCTTAAATAAGCCATTTTCACTGTACTTAATTTACTTTCATGGTTTTCCTGGCATAGCCAAACCTCACTTCCATATAACAAATTGGTCTTACAGGTGGTCATTTTTGCTTCTTTCACACACACATTCATTCCTTGCAGCAGACTGTTTTTCTACCAGCGTTTGCATGATGTAATGGGCTGTGAGGGCAACCTTGAGAAAGAGGAGGAAGAGCCACAGCTAAGGCAACGGTCAGATAAGAGAAATCTCAGGCCAAAGCAGGAATGGAATTTGAGGAAGCATCTCAACCTGGACCCTCTCTAGTTTTCTTTAGGATAAAGGCAGGGAGAGGAGAGGCACATTCACAGTTGCAAGTTTCTGTCCCTGTAACCCTATAATAAAAGTTTTAGTATTCATGACTTTGTTGTTTAAGTCTGGTCTACATCAGAGGGCTGACACAGATCTTAAAATTTCTCCATCCATTTCTCCATCTTTATTAAGATATTGAGATATTTCACCCTCTATATACAGTATGACTTGAAGTTGTTTACTCCAGTTTCCATGTCAAACACAACTGTCATGGTCTTTGGTACACTAATTTTGTACCAAATGCATCTCTGATGTCATTACAAGAACATCTTATATATTTATCCATAAATATTTTAAACATAAGGTGGGAGGTAAAAGTGACCCAAGTAGAAAACCCTTGTTAATAGGAAGCTACTATAGAAGTAAGGAGTTGCAATAGATGGAAAAGCATGGTTATACATTATTTAAACCAACTCGTCAAATGGTTGTAGGCTTTGGCAACCACAATCAATCATAGTGTGATAGGTGAGGTGAAATGTTACATAATATCAAATATGACAGGAACAGGTGTAGTCATTGTCCGAACCTTACTTTGAATATACAATGCTATAGAAGTTGGTGCCCGATTAAGGACAAATAAACATGGCTGGCTGAAGGTATGCACTGATCATTTTTGATTATTGTTTTCCAGAATAAAACTTGATTCTACTTATGATGCTGGATTTTTGACAGATTTACTTTGTTCCAACAATTGTTGTTGTTTTTTTAACATGGGATAATAAGTCCCTTGGAGTTTCTGTTCAGATGACTGGCTGATCAAATCCACTTATGGGCTTTCCGTGTTGACCTCTAGTAATTTTTCTCAGGATTGTGTTTCTTGTGTTGTAAGACTGCCATACTTATTTTGGAAAGGGAAGAAAATATCAACTTTAAAAATGAAAATAGACAGGCTTTTCAGACATAGTTCATACCTGATTTGGGGGAGGCAGGGGGGTGTTGAATATGGATTCATCTTGATATTTTTTCTTTCAGTGTTTGACTACATCTACCAAGATTACATTTTGTCTTGGTATGGGAACCTCAGCAGAGACGAAGGGCAGCTGTATCATCTACTGTCTGAAGACTTCTGGGAGGCTGCCAAGCAGCTGCGGCACAGGCTCGGTCACATTGATGTAGTTAAAGTCATTTGCAACGATGTTGTGAAAGCTGTGCTCAACCATTTCTGTGATCTCAAAGCGGCCAATTCCAGGTAATAATGCATCCCATGAACACACATATGTACCTTTTCTACATCATGCTTTAGTTGTGTTTAATTTTTTTCTGATTATGTCTGAATTGTATTGAGATGGCAAAAGCAGCTTTAAGGTGGCACATATGGAAGCGTCAGTGGTGACCAGTCTTCTTGGCAAGGGTGCTGCAAGCCAGGTCCAAAATATTGGATACTTTGTCTCAGTATCATGCTGGTCTGCTCAAGCACAGTGTTATCCCAGATAGACATATTCTCTTACAGTATGCTATAAACTCCTGTCCTCAGTACTGCTGGGGATGATGTACTGAAATGATCTTGCATAATTCTAATTTTGATATTACCAGGATTCAGATCCTGGATTCCACTAAGGCCAAAGATGTGCCTGGATTCATTTATAGGATTTTATAAATTTCAAGAACATATAAAATGTCTGTATTTAATTATTTTTCCAATTATAGTTCTTCTGTTTGATAACTCAGAAATTTTTGCTCTTTATTAAAGCTGGCAGATGAACTTAACAGATATTAACTTTTGTCATTAATGCTTTTTTTTTTTTTTAACTAATAACCATGTTTGCTGGGGATTATGAGATTTGAATTCCAATACACCTATATGGCACAGGCTGAGGAAGGATGCATTAAGGTACATTGAGATAGGGATGGCTGTCTTATTCCCTCTATTTTTGCAAAGAGATTAAAATCCTCAGATGTCTGTTCCCAGGGTCATTTATATGAACTCTTGCAATGACATTTTCTGTTGTAATTTTTGATGTCCTCTTTGATTCTGCTGAGCATTGCCACACATGGTTGGTTGGAATAGTTGAAAGGATTGGTATTACCAAAAAGGTGCCTGATGTGTCTCTCTTTCCTACTCAGGGACATTGTCTACTTTCTTCTTTAAGCAGTTTACCAAAAAGTGGGTTTGCATGTTGTTTGCACCATGTGGCAAGAGACTGAATAGCAGAAGTTGCAATTATCCCAAACCTGAAGTGCATTTGTGTGATTCCACCCATGTAGTAGGATGACTACATTCCACTGATTGACAGTTCTTAGAGTCAGGAAGTTCATTCTGATGTCTTGCTTAAACCTTCTTCCTTGTAGTTTTAAGCCATTGATTCTGGTTGTACCCTCTGGGGCAATAGAGTATAAGGCTACCTACTCTTCTGTGTGACCACCTTCAGATATTTTGCTATCATGTCTCCCCTTTATAATTTTTTTGTAGGGTAAACATGCTGGATCCTTTAACAGTTCCTCATAATGTTTGGTTTCTCTTCACCATCATAGTAGGTGTCCTCTGAACTTGCTCCAATTTGTCACTATCCTTTTTGAACGGTGATTCTTGAGTTGGACACAGTACTGCAGATGGAGTCTGATCAGGGCAGAATGGAGTGGAGTAATTACTTCCTGTGATCTGGACTCCATTCTCCTGTTAATGCATCTCAAGATAACATTTGCCTTTTTCACCAGAATGACTTGCTGAGATTTTGCAGAGCGTGGGTCTTTGTTCAGAACTTAGATGAAGAAGCTTGGGATTCTTCTCATCTTCACTCCCTGCTGGCTATTTAATATGGCTTAATAATTGAGTAGCTGTCATGAATTAGTATGATTTAATTATGGTTTGACTATGAAAATTAGATTCAGATCTTCCAATGGCCTTGAAGCTTGATGGATAATTGTAGGCCAGCGTGTGTTGTTTTCAACTCATTGTATTTATACCATTTTTTGAAGAGTTTCCCTGGCAATGTACATAGTGAAAAAAATAATAATGCCAATTAATTGGATTAAAAAGCAGCATCACATACAAGAACCAAAGGAAAATTATGGGAGCAGAAAACAAAATGACTTTTAATCCTGAAATAACGGCAAAATTGGCAGCAGGGTTTATTTTGCTATAACTTATTTAGTAAGGTGGTTCTGGCAGAAAAGTGGAAGCATTACTGAAAGAAGTGATGCTAATCAAATGCGATGATATATACTTTTAGAAATTTTGACAAACATACTCACCTTGCATCATTGAGTCTACCTGATTTAAAAGACAAGTCTAGTGTTGTCATCTGTGCAACCCTAAAGTACCATAGGAAGAACCATGATTCATTTGTTCTAAGTAAAATCTTAATTGAGACTGCTCTAAAAGCTGCTTCTTGTGTTATATTCATGCACTCTGGAATTGTTTATCTACTACTTCTCTGCCTAAAATCCTACTGAGGTGATACAAGTAAATATATTACTTTCTTCTGAGGAAGTCAGTGTTTCTTCTGTAGTTTAAATAGCACTTGTGCAATCATTCCTAAATTAAATCTTAACACAGACTTCTACAAAAGAGATGTCCATGATGCTGCTTTGTTTCCAGAAAGGTAATGTGATATTCTCTGCCCCACCCCACTCCCATTTTTTATGGCACTGATAGTAATTCAAGATATGAGTTTATTCTAGTTGCATGTTCAGTAAAGCTTACATGGTTTGAGCACTCTTAACGTCTTCCGAGAAATTTGCAAGTCGCTTATTTGCCATTGATATTCTTACAGCTTAAAAAAAAGTTTGTTGGAGAAATCAAATCCACTTGAGAATTAGATTGAAGGGTAGTTGAAGTACTGCTTGTACTGTACCCTTTTCCTCCCCTTAATAGCTTTTCCAGTACAGTCGTTTTAATGCATGTAGTGGATGTGGGAAACATGAGAGGATTTTTATCTGTAAATAGCAATCTTAATGACTGTCAAAATATTCTAAATATAGGTAGAATATTCTTTCCTAGGCTACCTTTCTTAGCAAACTTAACAAACAAAGCATCTGTTTTTCTGCACATTCTTTATGGTGGCTGACCTAAATTAGATCTTATTTTACTTCATAAATTCCTAATCAAACATCTTTTAATTTTGCTATTTTTTAAAACTTAGACATCTGAGTTATGCAAATAAAGAGATGAACGTGTGTCTTAATAGAAAAGCTATGGGAAATTCTTTAGATGTATTGCTGTGGAAACCATCTTTTAGTTTCAAGTCATACCTTGGAATCACCATTGATCTATCAAGGATAGATATCAGGATATCTTCAAAGCATCAGGATATCTTCAAAGACCCATTTTGGTTTAAGGATGGAATTAAACAGGTGAAAGGCTTAAATACAAGCATGCTCACATTCCCTTGAAAAAAATAGTTCTTGTTTTCCTGGACCAGTTACTAATCTTTTCTTTTTTAAATCATCCTGTTTGCTCACCAATTCTTTGGTCCAGCAAAATAATTATTTATAAGTTTGTCTCAAATCCCTTTTTCCTTGTAGAAAATAGGCAAAGGTGTCAACATGAATCCCTATTCGTTCTCTCAAATCTCTATCCTGCCTTCCATGCAAGTCCCAGTGGACTAAGGTGGTGAGCCAATGGGTCACTTCACACTCTCAGTGAATATATTAGATAATAGATGTACAGAATTTTCACTAACCAACATGATATCCATGATCTGCTCTTTGCTTTTCTTTGATCTGTCTGCTAAACTCTAACGTGGCCCCTCCAGAAATTGTTTTCTGTTTGAATAGCCTCCTTTGAACTACTTGTCAGAGGTTCCTTTGTCTTTAGAGGAAGTATGCTGTTGGTATTTTTGTTCCTTAGCTGCCCAGAGTCATTGAGAGTTGGGTGGCATAAAAGTTTAATAAAAAACCATTATTTTTATTATTATTTCCTAATGATCACCCTAAATGTTGCATAAATAAGCAGCCCCTTGCTTCTCTTTCATATAAGAGCAATTGCAGTGTCTGTGGAGATAGGCTCAGATTTCTGGCTGTTCACTTGCTTCTCTCTCTCTGGGACCCTGTGATGGCCAAGAGGGTTGGAATGGGCTCAGAACCTCCTCAATGTACTTTTCTCCCACCGACGTTTTATTGAGGATGAAGTCAGGCAAAGTAAGCATTGGATACTCCACAGTTTTGTTTGGCTTGATTGAGGTAATTATGGCTTGAACAAGCCACAGGCTTCCATGGAATATGATTTGTTTGAACTAGAGGTGGAAACAATATTTTCATATGCTGAGGAGAGAGAAGAGCAAAGAAATATGTGAATGTGGTTTGTATATCTTTGAGTTCTAAGTCTTAGTTTTATGTCTGTACAAAGATAAGTTCATGAATTTGGAAGATGAACAATAAAGTAATACTCATGCAATGTAATTTGATTTGTTTTTTTTGTACTACAAATGTACATCTAGGTTCCCAGGGACACTCAGTATTTGTTCTTGAAAATGATGCATAATGAAGATGAGTCAGTGCTCGGAAATACTTTACTTCTGTGTCTTTTGGTATTAAGCACTGTAGAAAGGTTGTCAGTTACTTTTTAACACAAGCCAGGCCAATTTATGTTTGTATACTTGCCCTCTGCATACAGACATACATTGGAAATATTTTACTGCTTGGTGGGAAATGGAAGTCTTGGTCTGGATGTTAGCTAAATAGATCTCACACTGATATTAGAGGCTCTTCTGCAGATTGATGGCTTTTTAAAAATAAAGTGATGAACTGAAAGTCATCCATTATGTTCATAAAACTGGAAATGTTATTTAATACATTTTATATTAAAATGTCATAAAATATACTTTGAAACTACTGAAAAAAATAAGTTGTGGTTTTCTTGTAATGTACGTAAGAAAAAGTGTTTCTTTGAGAAAGGAAATAAAATAATGTGATGATAGTGCCTTCTTCAATTAGTCCATTTATTGTCATCTTAACATGGCCATTGATTTAGCAAATTCTTGGGAGTATGCTTTAAATCTAAAGCCATACAAAACAAGATCAATGTGAAATTTAAGATAGTATGAATAGAAAGTGCTATAAAGTCTGCTAATTGGTTGGTGGTAGCAATGAACAAGCTAAATCTGGGCACTTCTTGAAAATAATGTAAAATCACTCTATGATACTGAGCCTTGAAAGAATCTTCCTTCCCCAACCCCCCCCCCCAAACTCATATTAATTT